CTTGATAGAATTAGGTCACTATAAATCCTTCCTTACAGTAATCTTAAAAGTAATCAATATTAATTCATTAAGTGACAGATTAAATCATCACGAAGACTTCGATAATTTGAAGTAAAAAGTAATAAATCCGCCACTAGTAGTAATGGAAGTACAATGAGAGTAATTACATTCCGTTAAAGATCAACATCAATAATAACAAAAGTTCAAGTTTGTTATTTAACAGCAAATAAGTAGTAAAATACTCCATATTTATTTATGTCATTCAATTGAGTATAACTATCCAAATCATCTGGTTAAGTGAATTTTAATTGGACATTTTTCACTTGACTTATAAAATTGTATGTTTGTAAGCATTAGTTTAAATTGTCCAATTATAAAATGATTATTTGATATTTAAAACACAATTGTATGAACGAAGAATATTTCTAAAATATTATAAACAAATAGTATCCAACTGAATTTTTCACATTGACTACACATATATCAAGTTTATTGTTAAGGTGAGTATATTCTTAATTTTATTGTTATTGTTTACTGCACTAATCATTTATAAAATATTCACTAAAGTGTTTTAAAAGGTAAATTTTGAACATGATTTTCATAAAGAGCTAATATTTGCCAAGTAACTGCTGAGAATTAAGGACCACTGGTTGTTTATTTTGTTCTTGTATGGGAATATTTGGGTTTGTTCACTCATGAACTCGAGTAAGATCAAACTTCGGACATGTTGGACTCATGAAAAACATACTGCTGTAAGACCAAAGAACTAATCTATATTTTAAATTCAAGTCAATTTATGGTAATGAGCAGTCGTTATTTGATATTGTCTAAGAATAACCCATCCAAATATAACTTAGTTGTCAATGCATGTCACAATTATTCATTAAATCCATTGCTGAAACATCTCAAAGTTAGTCAAAATTATCCACTGCTGAGAAGTTCCTAAATAACAAGAAACAGCTGTTTATCACTGTGATCAATGTAATATAATGTGTAGATGTGAAATAACCTGTAAGCGTAGTTTGAATAATATTAGTTAATAAACAAAAAGTAATTCAGATTAAAATAATTTAAAACAGTTGTAAGTTGTAAAAAATATTATCAGTTTTGATGGCGTTTGAAGCGAATGGTACTGGGTTCGAGTCCCAGAGTGAACATCAACTCTGAGATGCAGGTACATCTAGCTGACAAGTTCCAAATAGGACAAAACACGCGCCCTCGATTCCACTGCTAGCCACTATCCATCATTGCTTACAAAAAGCTTGTGAATTAAGGCAATATCGAAGTATACGCACAGTATGCACATATGCTGATAACAGACTGATCAATTGCAGTCTTAAACCTCAATGGGAAGATACAAGCCAAATAATGCCAAGTGACATTATCAGTTTTATACTTTTTTTAGATAAGAAAATATTGACCGAAAAAACACCTAAAAGTTAATCTAATTCATGTATTTCTGTTATAGATTCTTCAAAAGTATTTAGATACTGCAAATCTTAAACTGATGAAAATCATTGTAGGAATTAGTGAATAACTAAGACATAAGCTCAAATAGTGTTCACTTCTCAAATTTAACAGTATAACTGTTCGCTATGAAATTACACGTAATGATATTTTTTCTTGAATTATTATTAAAGATTTTTGACATAATTATACGTTGGATAAATGTCATTAAATATATATTGTGATAGGGCTTTGATTAGCTTTTATTTCTGGTCATTTCTTGAAGTACTATTATATATTATTGATACTTTTGAGTTCATTCAAAAGGTTGTCACTATGATGTCTAAAACAGTTATATCACATTTCTTATAAATGGATAGTTTAAAAATAATTCATGATTGTTTTTATTACCAAAGGTAATTTTCAAAGATTTTACAGACTTCTTCTTTACAGACGACGAATAGTTTTTAGTATACAAATTATACAGTTCCATCTATTTACTTTATTGTGACTTATAACTTTATAAACTTCAAAATTTAAGTACTTTCTGTTATAAGTTACTTTCAAATAATAATAAGAACTTATATTCCGAAAATTAGTTCAGAATACACACCAAATTACAAGTCTGGTCAGGTTGATACAGATTGATAGGTAATAACTGTAACAAAAATCTGACTTAAATATATTATATCAGAATAAACATAAATTACAAGTTATTTGGTTTAGGATAAGTTTGATTAAATGAATATTATCAGAAGGGGTTTGTGGAGATTTTAGAAATTTCACTGATTGAAATCATGAGTCAATTGAAGCTAGACCACCATGGAAAACCTGGAAGCACAGGACGGCCGTTTCTTCCTAGTATGGGACTACTGAGCAGTGCGCATCCACGATCCCGCACCCCGCGAGATTCCAACCCAGGACCTACTGGTTTCGCACGCGAGCACTTAACTACTAGACCACTGAGCCGGCCGGCATCCAACGGTGTTAATGTCTAACTTCAAGAAATCCACGAAGTTGCGCCACCATACACCATTGTCTCCAGTGAGTTGATGCCTCACAACAGACCTGGTTGAACTCCATTGGTAATGGTTTCTCACTAGAACTCCAGAAGTATCTCTTCAAGTCAGTCACTAGTGAGCAGATGATTATTATCAGAATGGGTTTTGTGGAGATTTTAGAAATTTTACTGATAAATCATGGACTCGAATCTCGCGGGGTGTGGGAACGTGGATGCGCACTGCTCAGTAGTCCCATACTAGGAAGAAACGGCCGTCCTGTGCTTCCAGGTTTTCCATGGTGGTCTAGCTTCAATTGACTCATGATTTCAATCAGTAAATAAATATTAAACAATGAATATAATGAAGAATGTAAAAGGTTAAATTAAGTCATGTTGTAGTGTGTGCTACTTTTGCTGACAGACATAAGCAGTAAAAAGTGCCAATCGGAAGTGGAATACAAAGCAGCAGAAGATTAAAATAAAGATAACAGGAAGGAAATCGATGGGCAATCAGTATGACAACAGAATTAAAGGAATAAATGTATATGTAAGGGAAACTCAAAATAGATGTGCAAATGATGTCTTTAATGTATGATTTTTATATTTAACTGAACCAATGATTTAGAAAGTTGGCATTCCCCTACCTGAGTTTCCGTTCACTACAATATAAGTATTTGTTCACAATCCAAAATTAAAAAAATATGTCCGACAGACGAAAAATATCTCTGGAGTAAAAACTAATAGTATATATAGAATTACTATATGTGTGATTACTAACTCATTACTTTTTTGGTGTAAAAAATTAATAAACACTGTCCATACGTACATTAAAACGTTAAGCTTATCTATTCACATCACTTTACTGAGCCAGTGTTGTCACTTAGGCCAGAGTTGAGTTGACTGGTACTGTGATGTGTACAGTTTCTCGAGGAAAAATAGTATAACAATGCAAAATTAGCATTGATGATTGAACCTAGTTAGGTTATTATCTCATGTTTGGATACCTGTAGCTTCTGAGACTTCAGCTAAATTTAAGAGGCCAACAACAATGCGAAAAATGTAAGCTTATAGGCTTTAGATATTACTATAGTTGCGAGAGGTTAAATTATCGACATACTCAATCGTAAGACTTATAGTATATTTTGGTTTGACTTTTTTCAATTATAACTTTTATCCATCTATTTTTAAACGTTTACCATGGTAAAAACGTGATAATAAATGGTAAAGATAGCTTCCGTTACACAACACTAGTTGAAGAAACAGTAAAAGCCGTAAAGCATAAGGTAACTGTTCAGTCCTAGTTTGAGACTTCTTTTTAGCCACACTTCACTTAAAGTCAAATAATGGATTATCGGATTTTTCGGCATACACGACACCCTTATAACACTGATGAGGAGACCTTTAATGGGATAAAACAGTTTTGTAGTAATTCTCAGTTATCTGTAATTCTTCAGCTGATTTGTTTGATGACGGAAATCAGATTTACATCAGACTCATCCTTATAGATCACTCGGCAAGATAATAAAATGTGAGAAAACTTGGAAACGTGACTTATTGTGTGCATAGTATTATTGTCTCTGAGTAGATAATAAATCAAGCAATTTAACATAAAACTATCAGGTACCTTAACTCAGTATGACGTAACGTAGCAATTACCTTTACAAATATGAGAGTGAATAAGTCCAGAGGAACTACTAGATTAAATTCCTGATCAGCTAATAACTCTGATATAAAAAACAGCGGTAATATACATCTTTGCTCAAACAATCATTGCTAATCAATTTAGGACATACGCGAAAGTAGGTAAAAAAATAGGAATACACAATTATTGATTAAATTTGCTTATGTGAGTGAAATTAATCGTAACGCTGAAATGAAAGGGGATTAGAAAAAAATCCAATCTCCTTGAGACTTCAGATATGACTTGCTGGAAGGTAAGAAATAGCATAGAACATAGTTTATGGAATTCCATCCGTTGGCTCCAACCACCTAACATGCTCACATAGTGATGTTATCGTAAAATTGTAGATATATAGCGATAAATCTTCATTTTTACCGATAAATTTATTGGACTAGCTTCTTAATTTTACTTTGATGACTCAGTGGCTAAGGAAAAATCTATGAACGACAACTTGAGTACAAAACAATCCATGACATTACACAACCCTTTTTTATTGCCTATAGTCGATAAATATCCCACACTCCACGGGAATTAGACTCCATTGGTTACAGCTTCTGACTAGAACTCCAAGAGTTATGTCTTCAAGCTAACCATTAGTGCTCACCATGTCCTGGGTTCGGTTCATGTATGTGAGGTCGTGAATGCACTGCTGAGGAGTCTCATACTAGGAAGAAACGGCTATCCAGTGCTTCCACATTTTTGATAATGATATAGCTAAGATCATGATTTTAAGTACGAAACTACTAAAATCTTTATACATACACCAAACACAAAAAATATCAATTTAAAATGCTGTATGGCCATTACTGTTATGCTATAACTCGAATTTTTTCATGATTTTCTTAATTATAGATCATTACCATTTCATAGCTCATGTCAATTACATCGGATATATTTTATGATAAAATTGTCACAAGCATTAAAAAACCCCCAAATGAAAGAACAATAGATGAAATCGAAGAAATTTGTCCATGGTTTGTTGGAAAAGTGAAATTTTTTTCAAATCTCAAATCTGGTACTATTTTTTCACTAGAAAAACATAAATTATTTATCATTTAGATATTGTCAAAGATATAATTAAGAATTGTGAATTCTCTGAACGTGAAACGGATGATATAATTATACGTCAGTTCGAAGAAGGCGATTGGTTAGTTAGCATATATTTTTTTCAAATCTCGCTTTTCAATATAAACTTTATTTTATTTATGAAATTATTTTAGTTGTGTATTTCTTACAGGGGATTAGGTCTTTATGATTCATTGGTATCGCTATACTGAAAAATTAAAAATAATCAGCATTCACTTAAAGGTGTCAATTATGTCAAGTTCACCATTAGATCTGAAAGTCTTAGGTTTGGTCTTTGAGGTCTTTACTAATGCATATTACTTCAATATCAAAACTAGTACGAAATAACTCTTTGTTGCTTTCTTTTGTTAATCGTTCTCCGGATAATGTCACTTTCTGTAACAAACTAACATTTACAAAAAATTAACTATCCTACTTCACTTCACCTCGAGAATGGAAATTACGTTGGATTTTTCCAAGGTAGAATTAATCTTTACAGGTTGTTTATTTGACTTTATTCAAATAAGACATATACCCGTTTAGAGTATGTAGAACAATTTTAACAAAAAAAGTCTTATTGTACAAGTTTTCCTATATGTAATGCAAGTTAAATTTTGACTAGCTTTACAGTATTCTGAAGAAAATTTTCCACTTTTTGCAGCTTTTGTCTATGAAAGTAATATAACATAAAATTTGCCTAGTTGTTACTTTGAAGTTGGACAAAAGCCTTACTTATCATGAATATCCCAGTTGTAATCGATTTTGCTGACTGATATGAGTGGTTGATTTTTACCTGAAATAATATGAACAGTAATTTCACTGGTTTTGTGTTTAACAAGTCAAAAAATTACGAGCATTCAGTTATATTTAAATGGCCAAATATATTCGCGGTTACTTCCATTTTTGCTAGGTCACATAACAGATTACCAGTACTATTTACCATCAATAAGAGAATTAAGTACTTTTTATAATTACAGAACTAAGTATAAAATTTATATGCAAAGATGGATAGTGGCTAGCAGTGGAATCCAGAACACGCGTTTCGTCCTATTTGGGACTTGTCAGCTGGATTTCACTGCTAGCTACCATTCATCTTTGCTTGTAATACTTGTGAATTAAGGCGAAATCGAGGCATACGCACAGTATGCACATATGCCGATAACAGACTGATCAATTGCAGTCTTAAACCTCAATCGAAAGATACAAGCAAAACAATACCAAGTGAATTTAAGTATAAAATTATTTGTGCAAATTGATGAACAGGAAGTTTTACCTTAAATAAAGAACAACTAACAGACAGCAATCAAATTGTTAATTGTCTTTAGAGTAAGTGTATTTCATAGCTTTCAGAAATCATCAGCATTATTACTGAAGAAATAGAAATTTATCAGGAATGATGTAATTTATAATGAGTTTTTATATGAAAACTTTCAGTTTTTGGATATCTACAAATGTAATTAGTAATTGTCGATTAAGATCATCAATAAGTTTATTGAAATAGGAATAGAACAAGTGTAGTCTTGAAGCATCTCAATGTTAAACAAATTTTAATTTAATAATGTTCCTAATCATTTGAGCGTTACAAAGAAATTAGTAGATTACTTGATTTTTTATTGTTAAAACCAATTTAAATCTGATAGGGGTTTTGTACATATTATAGTAATTTAATAGTTGAATTCATGATTCAATTAAAGCTAGACCACCATGGTAAACGTAGAAGTACTAGACGGCTGTTTCCTCCTAGTGTGGGACTCCTGAGCAGTACGCATCCACGATCCCGCCTCTCGAGATTCCAACCCAGGACCTATCGGTCTCGCGCGCGATCGTTTAACCTCTAGACCACTGAGCCGGCATCTGATGGTGTTAATGTTTAACTTCAGGAAATCCACGAAATTGCGACACTGTCCTCCAATGTCTTCAGTGAATCACTATCCCACAACAGACGCGGTTGAACTCCACTGGTCGCGAGACCGACAGGTCCTAGGTTCGGGATCGTGGATGCGCACTTCTCAGGAGTCCCATACAAGTACGAAACGGCCGTCCAGTACTTCTACGTTTTCTATGGTGATCTAGCTTTAATTGACTCATAAATTCAACTATTAAATTAATTTAAATCTCTTTGATTTACATTTGACTAAGTAGTTCTTTTACATAATGCCAAAAGATTTGAATACGACGGTTATAATTCCTTAATGAAAATGTCAACAATCCAATCCTGATTTCAAGGATCTTTTTTATTATAGGCCTCATATTATACTACCAATTTTTTTCAGCTTTGTATACCAAATTAAACTGATTGAGGATAAAATGTAATTGTAATTCTCATAAATTACTATGATTCTGTTTGACACTAAAGAAGTATTAATGCAACATAATATGAAAACAAAATATACACTAATTAGGAATTGGCTGCACTTTGATAAATTCTCACAAAAAAACGTTTAAAGTTTATCGATTAGATTTTATTTATTATTTATTTCTGTCACCTTGGTAATCTCTATTACTTATTAAAACAATAAATTACTGTTTTGTATATTTTATGAATTGGTTGAAATTAGGTCATAGGTTACTAATCGGTAAATTTAGTGAAATGACCACACACAAAAAAAACAGTACTTTACATCTACTCCTAATAGTCAACAGAAATGAAAATAATTCTGTATGGTTAAGCAAACTGATATAAATTAATATAAATCTTAAATAAATTAAAGAATAATTAGTACTGAACATAGCTGCTTCATAGTCATAAATTGATTGATGTGATTATATGTACGGAAACACTTTACGACAAGAAACTATCCTCTAAATGTATTAAAATCGTGTCTAAACGAATGTAGTCGACAGGAAACTCTAGACCCGGGTTTTGTGATATTTGGCAGTCGTCAGTAAGGTGTACCTGTAATCTTGAGGGAACTGGTTCTCCCTGGAGGATTCGATCTCGTGTCACCTAGCTTCACGGTCGGAGACGTTATCACTAGGTTATCCGGGCCGTGACCGACCTCCTGTAAGACTGAGATGTAATCACAGTTGATTGATCACTGGATGATGATCGATTTCATGTGTGTCAAGTCCTTCTTAGTGCAGATCGAATGCTACCGACCAAGTTGCAATGTGGCCACTAGTCTAGGTGACTCGATATTGTGTGCACTATGTTGATTATGTAACCGCTACAAAGATATCTATATTTAACTATTGTTTGATTTTTGTAAAAGTATTCTCTTATGAGGAAAAAAATGGAAAAGAATAGTATGTTGTGTAATGCCGAACGTTTTACTTTTATCAAAAGAATGAAACTTAAACACTTGACTGAAACCTATTTTTAGACCAAACGTATTGAGAAAATGTACAAAACTAGAAATTTGTGAAAAAATAGTAATTTCTAAGGTAACTTGATTAGATGCATTTTTATACCACAGAGTATATGACTAAGTATTACATTCTATTAAAGATATGATCCATAGTGAAATGTATAGCAATTTATAAACTCTTGTTTATCTGAATGACAGATATCAAACTTAAATTTATTGAAATTTCTATATAAAAATATTTATTCTCTCAAATCATTTATCATGTAAGTATCATTATGAAACGTTTAAAAAATATTAAACAACTAAATGATGAAACATGAAATGTTCATTAACTGTGTGTGCTAACAAATAATTGAAAAATTCTAAGACAAATACAACAATCTTTAACAATAACATTTTATAACTATACAGGAATTACTGTTTAATTTACTAATGTACATGGTTGAAACTTTCTGGACGGAAAGATTGAAGTTATGTATTGTATATTGTAGGTAGACCACAATTTAAGATCAATTTTAATTGTTTAGATTTAATAACTACAACTTCAGAAAGGTATATTTCAACTACTCGGCAAACTACTGTAATGTACCATACAAAGGAGGATATATCAGGATTATATCGTTGAATAAACTGCTAATTAGTTGAGAGTGTAAATATTAAACTTTTCTTAGTCTTCGTGAATAACTAGAAGGTCAAGTGATCTTTTTTATTCTTTATGAACTGCAGTAGAGTGAACATCTGGTCTTACTCTGAATATATCAGCAAAAGGTTTTGATATTACAATTCCGGGTACGGATTTTCATTTATTTACGAGTTGATTCAAGAAATGAAGGCTCAGACTTAAGTGATTAAGTCTCTAATTTGAACTTTTTTATAATATCACTGTAGGGAATATCTTTGATTCAACTTAAAAAACAAACTTTACAATAATTATAAATCAAATTAAAGTTAAGGTGAATAAATAGCAAGGATTGTACTATTCTAAATGAAATCAATAGAAATAGATTAGTAGCGAATCATTTTAATTTGACTTTTCGAATATCGTTTATTTACTATTCTGTAATTGCTATATTACAAATATATATAGTGATTATGTGATGAATTTTGGGGATTTGTGGATAATGCAGTAATTTTAGTAGTTGAATTCATGAGTTAATTAAAGCTAGACCATCATGCAAAACCTGAAAGCACTGGACGACCATTTCGTTCTAGTGTGGGACTCCTCAGCAGTATGTATCCATGATCCCGCACGCGTGACTCAAACTCGCGACTTTTAGTCTCGCGCGCGAACGCCTAGCCTCTAGACCACTGAGTTGGTATCCAACACTGTTGATTTCTAACTTCAATTGATCCGAGATCTTGCGAACCCCATCATCCATTATTTGAGGAGTTCCATGCTAGGATGAAACGGCTGTCTAGTGCTTCCAGATTTTCAATAGTGGTTTGGTTCAGATCAACTCATGAACTCAACTATTAAAATTACGTAATGATTAAAATTTAGTTAATGGTCTGATTTTATGCAGTTCAATTTTCAATTTTTACTTACATACAATTACATCTTAATGTATTCTTTTGAAATGAATTATTTAACGATCTTTTTTCAGTTTTTATATCATTCTATCTGGTCAAGTATCAATTTATGTGAATACTGAACTTGTACATGATGATCAAGAAGTGGTTCATCAGCAGGATGAATTTGTGCCTGCAGTCAAACACTCTGTAGAGCGTAAAGCAACTAATCGAGAGAAATGTGGAAACTATGTTGTCAGTTTTGGTAATTGTCGATGTTTGTTGCATGGATTATTTTTTTAAAAAAAAGAGTTATAATCTTATATATCACAAGATTTATTTTAGAAAGTTTGTAAACTAGTTATGTAAACTATGAATCTAGGCAAATTTTCTTCTTTTATAGAGTAATCTATTCCTATGTATTAAACAAACATATGTTTCATCAGGAGAAGTAAATACAACACTTCAAATAACCCAGTACTATGAGAAAATGACTAAAAAACATTGGATGAAATAGATGATTCCCATTCGGTTAAATATAGTTTCATCTGATTAAAATATATGTTCATCTTCTGTGATAAGGATTTCTGCTATATAAATATTTCCATTAACTATTCCTCTAAGGATTTTAATTGCTCAAAGTGGAAAGTAATTGATATGTTGAAATTAAGACATAGTAACAGTGATGAAATACAGTGAGTCTCATTAGTATTAGAAAACTTCACTAACTTTACACTAAAAGCTTATTATTTTACATGCATTTAAACTGAGAAATAGTTAAAATAATTAAATCCTTATATTACTAAGATTTGAATTTAACTTAACTTATGGATGATTTTAAAAAGAAGTGCTGTCTACCGAAAAGCTTCTAAGGTTGTTAACCTGTGGTTTAATTTGTTTGTTCTGGTTAGCATTTTTGAGCAAATTTGTTTTTAATGGGATGAAATTGTTGACCCCATGCCTAACCCTTCTCCTTTACCCCAACTTGAAACCAACAGTAACTCTAGAAGAGCTACAGGTGGAGTTATTGTTAACCTATAGAAAGATAAGTTATCAGGATTTATGTAACCGGTTCTTTGAGAATGTCATAACACGAATAAATAAACTAATCTCTGAAATGATATCAGTTCAGACTTAATGAACAAAAGATGCTTCATAGTAACTTATGAACTAGGCTTCATATTTCCGTTTTTAATACATCATTAAATACCAGAATCTGTCATGGCTTCTCATTTAAAAAAAACGATTGTTATTATTATTTATTAACGTCTACTTATGTTTGTTATTATGACGTTAAAACGTCATTTTTCAATATTCAGGAACAGGAGCAAGTTTTGGAGAATTGGCTTTAATCAACAAAGATTGCATAAGAAATGCAACTGTAATTGCCGATCGCAAGACCCATTTAGCCGTTATTAATCGTGCAACGTACAACCGTTCACTTAAAGATGTACATGAGGCAGATTTCAAAATACGTATTGAATTTATTAATAAATGTCCACTTTTTAATGGATGGATTCAAAGTTTAAAGAAACAAGCAGCAATGTCTCTAGTTCAAACAGATTTTCCATTTGAAGCAAACCTTGTTCGTCAAGAAGAACCAGTGAATGGATTATTGTTTATTATTTCGTAAGTGTTAGATGACGTGTAAGTAGTATTTATTACTGTTTAGTAAATTAGGCTTAGAAGGAACTAGTAATGGTTACTCAACTTCCATATAACGTCCGTAGTTTACTTTTGTTTAAGCGCTAGATATACTGACAAGTTATGCGATATAACAAAAGAAATACAAATTTTGTTTTGTTATTGTACTTCAAAAAAGATTGAAAAACCGGGATATATAATATTGTATATATGAAAATGCTGCACCCTTATAAAATATTATACTTAATAGCAAATTTGTCACCTAAAAACCAGAAAATTTGAAAGAAGATTAATTAAACATCAGCGAGGGAAAGATAGTGATGTTTCATTTGAAATATAAGAAATATTCTGCAATCTAAACATCTTTTGAGCTTACAAAATCAATATCGTACTTTCAAAATATCAAATAACAGCAAATTTATCCAAAGCCAGCGAATAATCAAATATATTTCTAGATGTAGGTCAGTGTCTAACAAAAACATCCATGCAAGTGATTTTAATGTTGACTTGTTTCTTGATATTAGTCAATCATGTCCAAAGTCAGGTCAAACGTAAGATTTACTTTTGACCTAAATAACAAAACTAATACTGATTTGGGAATCAACACATTACTTGACGGATAGTGATATGAAGCGAATTGCTCTATTTTCGTTGAAAATGATTTTAGAAAACTTCCGTTGCTTTCGGTATAATAACTTGGAGAAATGACCAACGCTTCAGTCAAATATCATCATTTTGGTACCAGTTTGCTCGGTTTTTTTATAGTATATTTGGGTAAAAGTCATGACAATGTTGATGAATGTCCTTCTCCAATCTTTTGAACAACTTTATGAATTAGATCTTCTCAAAAATCTTATAATTTGGTTATTTTTGATAACATATCAATAGGGGAACACATTCAGTGGTGGAATGAAAACAGAACTCTTTTAATCGGTGAACGCAAAGATGAGACTTTCTTTCTGTGACTAGTAACTCGTATAAACTATGGTGGTGAAATATTTTTGACTGAATTTGAATATAGTAAATTTGACAGGTAACACCAGATATACTACTGTGCTTTTTATTTAAATTAGCTAAGTGGCTATACGACACTCCATTTTAATAAGTTTTTGGGAAATGAAGACCTTATCAGTGTAGTAGATAATGATCGATATAAACCAGTTGTCAGAGGAATGTTAATATTTTACAGAATCACATTCAATGACCATCATTATTACACAATGTATCGATTTAGGGTTACTTGTGATTCACACACAAAGTAACAATTGTGTGATAGCGAACAGAAAACCAACTATAATATATTGAATACAAATATGTCATTTCATTAATCAGGGATGATTTTTGATGATCAGTTCTTCGATCGTTATGAAGATCCATCTCTGTAAAAGTTTTCGGTCGATAATTGTATTTTCGGTTTTAATTTTCGCCTGACCACTGCATACTGTTGCAAACAATATTTTGTGTAAACTATTGCACAGTGTTTCTTAATTTTAAAACTATATAAAACTGAGTTATACATACTCTATTTTACTTTTATAGTGGTCAAGCTCAAGTCTCAGTAGATATTCTTAAGCATCCTAAACAGTATCCTAATTTAAAACTCGCTGCATATTCTGTCACTTCAACAGACATGGATGATCACAAACTAATTCATACTGAAAAGTAAGTTATGCATGCATTTTAATTTTATCACTAAAGACATCTCTTGATATGGAACCCTAAGAAACTGAATCACAAACATTAGCATTACATCTAAATATATTCATTATTATTCCGAGGGTATCTCATTTAAATAGTAAAGTTGGGGAATAAACTTGGAAGGGGACACTAAATCATAAAATTGAGACAAACAATAAAAATATGCATTGTAATCAATAGTTGTACCTATTTATATTTAGAAATTTGGTCAATATAAAGTAATAGAGATGTCACGAACAAAAATACAAACAATAAGAAATAAATGGTTATATAGTTAAGTAAAACTTATAAAACTAACTCAACAAATGAAACTTAGTGGATCACAACAGAAATAAATTCATGCAGTAATCAAGTTGCACCATCAGTTCGTATTACCAAGATAAGATGAGATTAGCCATGACCAACTCTGAGTGACTAAACGTGGTTGCAATATCTTCAACGTGAATTTAAAGTGGTTTTCTCAGTTCACTGATCGCTATGTAAGTTTTGGGAAAATCTACTTCGTTTTGGATCTTTGTTCTGTACTTGTTGACTGCAAACGTACTATGTTGTGTTATACATCCAGATTTCATAGATAGAAGCATTGTTTATATATATATATATATATATACAAGTTCAAAAATAACCCCGTAAAGCTATATGTATTAAAACATACTTTAATTTATTTTCAGTCCAAATTACCCAGTACGACGTATGGGATACATCGTTAATGAAAGGCGTAGTGCATTGAAGAAGATAGATTTATGTATAATTGGTCCTGGTACCATACTTGGTTAGTCATCAGTCATCGAATTTAAAAAAATACATTTATACTGTCTTTTTAATTAATGACTTCAAATCATACCATTCATGATGCTTTTTATATTTTATTATATTTCAGATTAAAACATACTATTACAAATTATTTTTAGAATATATTTGGAATACAAAGTAAAATCCGCTCAAAGGACCTGTAGTAGTTTATTCAAATTTTCAGGAGATAATTATGTTATTACCTACTTAAGTGAATGACATTCAGGCTCTATATTCTAGAACAGGTTTAATAGGTCCATTAGTACTAAGTTTCCTAACAATAACACTCCATTTACTACTGTAGTGAACAGAACACGAGTGGGGACAATCGAATTGTATGTAGTACATAATTACAGAGTTGCTTGGTAAAATAGAAAAACCATATTATAATATTTAATTTGCAAAATGTTCAATAATTGTCTCGAACTTCGTTGTTCTTGTATTTCCATACTAATTGCTTTCTGTTCCCGCTCCTCCTTTCCTGATCTTCCCCATCTTCTGCTGCCAGACATTACATTCCTGACTCGCGTCATATACTACTTATATCAATATAAGTAGCACGCACCACACTACCAGCATGTTTTGTACGATCAAAAAGATTAAACACTTTAAATTAAAAGAAAATTATTCGTATTCTTTGAAACTTTTATTTATATTTGAATAACTACAATCAATATGAATACCTTATGAGGACAAAATGTTACAATTTTGAAGCGAAAAACTAATTTCTTTACAAAATACTTTCAATATTAAAATTGAACGTATACTCTACAACTTCACTATACTTACAACGTTTTCCGTGACAATAGGCTATTTTCTTCGGAATCTATAGACTGATTCGGATACTTTGGATTATACTACGTTTATTCAATTAAACTGGGTTCGAATCCCGCGAGGCTGGATCGTGTATGCGCACTGCTGAGGAGTCCCACAATAGGACGAAACGGCCGTCCAGTGCCTCCAGGTTTTCAATGGTGGTCTAACATCAATCGGTTCATGATTTCAATCAAGAATATTTATAAGTCTGTAATTTATTAAAGTCGCATATTTGCATAGAAAATAGTTTTTTAAACATTTCTCCAACAGAACGTAGGAAAATTAAACTTTTCTAAACCATGTAAATATTTTTTTAAACATCAAATTTGCTGAAGAATCATGACTACACTGTTATGTGAGTTTTGGTTTTATTTAATAATTATAAAATTCACTCTCTAACTATCCTTTCTACTGATTCATTTAGTCAGTTAGTCAACTTGTAGCAATAAAACAAAACCCACTCAAAGATATTTGAATGCTTTTCACTGGTAAAATGCCTGAACATAGCTAACACACGATGACGAGTAAGATGTAATGATTCTTATTGACACTTGAATAAAAAATGGTAGGATCACAAGAAGGATAAATCCTATTCTAAATGTGCTGTAATAAATTACTAATTAAATAAAAGACATTTAAGAAAACTAGTCGTGAAGTAATGTTGATGACAATCAAAGAAGTAAACTATTACTGTCAAAACAGGCATGACTGATACAATGTAATTAAAACAACTTTGTTAGTATAGTGAAAATTCCCATTTTGGTATTCGTTCTATTCGTTGTGTTTGCTAAACGTGATACACATCATAACTATCGAGAACTTCTCGACTATCAACAAGAAATTATCATAACCGATATTCAATGTACGATTTTTTTGAAAAAAAAATACAAAGAAATGCCTTACCATTTTCAAAGTATTGTTTTCATTTCATTTATTATAGGTGAATTTGAATATGGTTTTAATTTAAAAACTTACATGCAAACTGCTATTTGTATTGAACCTACATCAGCCTATATATTAGGTGGAAGAAATTTTGAACGTCTTATACAAAGTCGTCGTAATCCAGATGGTTTAAAACAGATTCGAGAAATAGCTGAACGTAATATTTTATATCGTATAAATCGACCAATAGATTCAAAAATCCCTCTTTTTCGCTGTTTAGTTAAACAAATTTATGAAGCAAACTTACAGGTAATTGAATTTAAATCAAATATAACTCTTTGAATAGAATGTCACAAAATATAAGAAATTTTCTAAGCAATCCATATATATTAGTAGTATAATATAATACTCCTTGCATAACTATACTCATAACAATCTTGGTCTTTTAACATCATAATGGACCTAAAAATAACTTTTTTACAAAGTGTAGAAATATCTCTTTTCAATTAGTTTCTCATCATGATTCAGCATCAATATATTATTTCTAATAATAATAAAATTGATATCAATCAAGTACTAAGGGGAGATAATAATATTACGAATTCATTAGTGTCAATATATATATATATATATATATATATATATATATATATATATATGATTACAATATTGAAATAATACTCATCGAGTGGATACGTTACGTAATAATTACATAATGACATTTAAATTAACATTGAGTAATTGGAAGAAAGAGGATTATTAATATTCAAAGTAATTATTAAATCATGAAGTTGCTACGTTGAGTAATATATGAAAAAGAGAGAAGCGACAGAATTTTTTAATGGATGGTCAATAGAATAGTAGTTACGTAAGAATCAAGAAATGAATGTTGAGATATTATAAAGTTCAAAAACAACAAAAACAAAATTTTAAAAAAAATTTTAAAAAAACCAAGTGGAAGAAGTATGAAAAATAGTTCTGTTGAAGGAAATCTTATACCGATGGCCAAGGCAGCGAAAGTGGTTGTACAAATCTCTTTTGAATGCAAAGGTTAGGTTTGTGAACATGGATTGTGATGGCTTCCGCAATGTGCAAAAGGCGCATTCATAAACCATGTGGCAGATTTGATGGGATATTGTAGTTAACCTTAAAAGCTCTATTCAATTCAACTTGATGACCTGTGTCGACCAAATGAGAGAGAATCACTTTTACCTGTCATTTGCTTAATCACGGCGGATGACGTTCTGTAATACGATAACGAACTTGCCGAATTGTACGCCCTATATAACTGGCTCCATAGGAGCAGTTGAACCGATAGATGCACATGGATTTGGCGAATTCAGGTAGTCTGTCTTTATTGGCCGTTCTTATTTTGAGGTGGTTGTAGAAGATAGCATTTAATCTGGCTGCATTAAATGTTCATTCCTTCTTTATTTACCAAATATCAATGTAAATAATTACAAATCATTAACAAGATTATTAAAAGTTAGGTATATAAAGTAATTAGTATTCAAAGTTATTAATTATTGAATGAATAAATTGGAATATGTAGGTATAGATCGAATGATATAATACAAGAGAATTGGCAAACTTACAACAGGAAATCGGATACTTTTAATATTTATGTAAGTACAAAGATATTACAGTTGTGCAATAACGAAACAAATAAAAGTTTTGATAATGAGACAATGTTTAAAAAAATATTGATTCTAGCCATTATGTTAGTCGAAGGTACGGAGAGCCATTATATAAATTTCTTATCAGATTTATAAAGATCAATGTCAATGACTTCAGGTATATGTAATCATAAATTAGAAAAGTGCAATGAATGCAACCTGGTTTGTAAAACCTTTTACAGTTTCTTTGTTTACATAAGCAACGTTGCACGTATGTAAACTTTTTTTAAACGGTCAAGCAAAAAAAGATACGTTTTCCTTTCAAAAGTATAAAATTTTAACTCTTTAAATATATATCTTGGTTATTAGTACACAGTATCACATAACCATCATTCTTTTTAAGCGAAGATGGATAGTAGCTAGCAGTGGAATTCAGGGTGAGCGTTTCGTCTTATTTGGGACTCGTCAGCATTGTTTTTTATACGGTTTCTAAATATTTTGACATAACTGGGTACTTCTTTTAAAACTTTATACCTTAAAAGTTGTATGTGAATAATACAGTTTCATAAGAATGACACAAAAAAATAATTTTATCAATGATAAAATTCATGTTTATTTGTTGGCCACTTTTAAATTGAACAGAATGCGCCCTAATTAAGAAAAAAGATTGAAACGTTACTTTTTTTTAATAAAAATTTATTGACATATCCCTATTTTAGTTACAAGAAGAACAACGTGAAAAAGCATTGGCTAATCGGAATAAAATTAAACCAGAAAGAACTAAAGGACTTTTTGAACCTACATCAAGAAATCAAAGACAACAGCAACAAGAACGAATGAAAGGAAGTAACAAATCTCTATTACAACAAGTAAACTTCTAAAATGGAAAGTTATTAATAACAATGTAATCATAATCAATAAAATTTGTCAATAATTTCTTTGTTGATCTAATTGAAATAGATTAAATTGAAAGTAGTTTTTTCTTGAAGATTATTTTCATATCAGATATAGTCACTATTTAGTTAATATTCTGATTGTACATTTGGTAGTTCCAGTTATATCTTTGAAATGTTGAGAATATTCATTAAACCAAGTACATCAAATACAACAAAATAGTGCTCAGTTTTTTATTTATTTAAGATTTTATATAATAATAATTTATAAGTAATCTATGAAACTTCCTTTTAAAAGATTTTATAAATAATAAGCTTTTATGCAAGCTATACATTAGTTATGAGATCGTTTATACATATCATCGTCAAATATTATTGTGGTGCATGCTACTTATATTGATGTAAGTAGTATATGACGCGAGTTAAAGAACGTAATGTCTGGCAGCAGAAGATGGAAGAAGATCAAGAAAAGAAGAGCGAGAACACAATGCAATTTGTAAGAAAACGCATGAACAATGAAATGTGAGACAATGGATTGATTTTTGCAACAGCAGCAGTCCAGGTTGATATGATGGATTGATATTTTGCGAATTAACGATTTACTATATGGTTTTTCTATTTTACCAAGTAACTGTAATTTCATGCTATGTACATTCGATTGTCCCCACCTGTGTTCTGTTCACTATATTACAACTAAACAATCAAGTTACTATAAGTTTTATTGTTTTTTTTTATGCGGAAAATATATTACTTTAGTCGCTGATGTTTCAGATGTTTCTGCTTTATTTTAAAAACAATAAATAATAATAAGTTAGAGTGGCTATAAAGTGTGAATTTTCCTTAGTTATACCTTCCTTCTTATACTACATTTAAATATACTGACTATTGAAAATAACATCAATCTACTAGCACATTTGTGGAAAAACCTGCAAACTAAATCTATCTGAAGGAAATCAATTTATATTAGTAAGATAAACTATTTAATTGACATTTGATCCTACTTCTGATTCTTTTTTTTCTCTTTTATTTAAAATTGTGTTTTAGATACTAAAACTCACTATGTTTATTTACGTTAGGACTTAATAAAGTACCATATATTTCTGAACACTTTTTATAGTCAATTTATCCTTCAAAATAACTATTGTTTGACAATGATTATAATCTTTTGAGTAAAGATACTACTGAAAGTTTAATAATTACAATGCCTTTTAAAAGTTTATTGTAAAAGATAACTCAACAAAATATTACTGAATTCTTCATATTATATTTCTATTACTGAAAGCAATTAGATTATCTCTCCATTTGATGTTATTACAAATTTTTGCTAACATTACATAACATCAATATATAGATTATAAGTTATACAGTGTCTATCATTGAAACAAATATTATATCAAATTTCCTATTTTGACATTTGATAAATAAAGAAGGAACGAATCAAGCCAAGAAATTTCTTTTCAATTTCGCTTGATTCGTTTCTTATTTATATCAGATTTGTAGATGAATATTGAAAATTATAATAATCAAAAAGATCCGATCAGTTATCACTTACTTATTTAATTTAAACATGTACCTTCTATATGAAATGTTTACTTTATTACATTTAAATTCTCTATAAAGAAGTATTCCTTTGTTTCATTTAATCGTTTTGAAATAACTAATACCTCCTTTTTTTCATTATCTCGTTTCCATATTTCTTTCTCTTTTTCCTTCTTTATTTATTTTAGTTTTATGGGATACAATCAAATGATTCATTGATAAATATGAATTAAACAACTTGATACATTGAACATTCTTATTGTACATTAAATAAGATGATATTGCTATTCAATTATGTTTCATCTTTTATCTTTAATTGGTTATCACACGTTTAAACAAGAAAGGAAAGAAAAACAGAATTCAAATTTGTTACTATGATATTTGTGTTACATGAATTAAGTGAAATCTTAGAATTTTAATTGAAAATTGAACATTTAGTCAATATATTTTATTTTTGTTTTTCATTTCTTTTATTGTTTATTGTAGTTAGGTATATTTTCAAAAGTCAACATGATTATCGTTGATGTTTGTAATGAATATTGAGTCAATCATTTTTTTTAAAATTGACTTTGATTTATTTCTTTACGAGTTTTGTTTTACAATACATTTGACTAATGAATGATAGAAAATATAAATATTCATTCATATGATAAAAGTTGACTCAGTTCTATCCATTCATATGTTGGTCAGTATATAACAAGAAGGAAGTACAAATATAGCGTTTATCCAAATATTAGTTACCGTATCTCATCTTATAATTCACATTAAAATTAATGAGATGGATAGAATTGGAGAAAAAGCAAATTTTATTTTATGTATTTCTTATCGTGTATGGTTTCTTACATTGTATCAGGTTATCTTATAGTGAAGTTAAATTTTAAAGAAAATCTTATAACTAAGAATTTTTGTCTAAATTTGATTGAATAGTTTCACAGTATTTGGGCGCCGTGTTAATGTGAGACATTAAAGAGGAAGAATGTATTTGTAAAATCTCAGTGAATCAATTTGAAGTAAATCCAATGTTTCGCCTAGCAATCTAGTCTAAGCTTTTTCAAGGAAATATCCATTCATTCACTGAGATTTTACAAATATATTCTTCCTCTTTAAAACCTTATAACATTTAAAAAATCACGTTAGTAAAAAGATTTGTTTTATTTCGTTAGTCATCTCAACAGACCTAAACCTAGAATTATCACTTCATATAATGTAGAAGTAATTCGAGGTCTATTATCATAAATTTAACTTATGATTTTGCTGATAAAAATGAGATGAATATTGAACGCCGATATAAACAAAACTCATTACTTTATTATTATACACTTGTTGAACATATTTAACTCAGTGTTATTTATTTTTTATTCTGTAACAGTAAATATTTTAGTTAAGGATAGTCTATAGCTAAGAATGATTATCAGTTTCAATCTCTTCTTGAAGTGGACTAGCATGATCCCATTAGTGTGGTAGCGTAAAAGATGGACGACTGAAAGATGTTTAACATTTAGCTTAATATGAAAAGTTCTGTAAATCCTTTCCAAACGAATGGAAGTAAAAATACAGAAATTTGATATTGACCAATCTTCGCATATGTGTAACGAAACATTTAATTTCGTAAGTGGTGCTAATTGTTTTCAAGAAGCATCTTTCACTCAGAGTTTCTAAGCCAAACAACTTATTATCCTAGACAAAAACATCATCAACGACTTAATTAGGGCTAGATACTTTATGTATGTTGCTAAATTATATGAATTTCAGTTTACCAAAGTATTTTTTCCTCGTACATGAACCACACTGGTGTACATCAACTGGCACAAAATTGAAGAGTTCAGCTTCTTGTCAATATCTTACAATTATCCTAGCTTGATGAATTTATAAACTTAGATTTTGTCGAGCGAAGCTTTTTACAGCAGTGAAGACCTATTTTATGACATATATCTTAATAAGCTACTTTAACTTGATTTCTAAATACTTAAGACAATATCCTTAATATAATGGCCACTTTTGCTCACGTTTTCAATTTATTTCAATAAAGAATGAGCCAGAATTTCAAACAAGACGACATCAAATTAATCATCTACAGAACAATATATTGACATTAAGAACAAGGAAATATTCGGCTAATCAAATTGAAGAAAGAAATGCTAAAAGTAATTCAGCTAACAAACGCTTTAACTCAGCTTATTCTGGATTTGATACAGTTTGTGGAAATAACAATAGTGATTTCAACGAACCAACTACTGATAGATCAAATAATACTGAGCTAAATGAAAAATTACCAAGTAAGCTTAATTAGAAACACATATTTTAATTAGGCTAAACAAATTGTGCACTATGACTACTTTAATCAAAAAGCAGAATAAGAGGGGTCCCTAAATCTCAACTAACTCTATAATAACACATTTTAACCTAATGGAAAAAATTCAGTTTAAATCTGTTGGTTGCTGACATTCCTGCCAGACATAACTAGGTGTTCTTCTCTGATGTATAGTACGCTTTGAAATTAATTACTTATTTAACAAATTGAATGATACAATTTCTTTCTGACTGTACCTCTGATGGCCTAATTGATTCGTGCATACCTCAAGTCAAGAGATTTATGAATCACTAGTCTTATGGATTCGGAATTTTACATGTGACTGGGTTGTCAGGTCGGGGTCCTCTAATGAACTCGAGATTATTTACAAATAATGGAATTTTTATTCGAGTTAAATGTTGTGTAATTTGAAACTACACAATCAGTATTTGTACAGTAGGATCTAGCAATCATTTTGTTTTCTCTTCAGCTATGTTGTAGTATAGTGAACGACAATACAAATGGGGAAAATCAAATGTATTTGAACACAGAATTACAGAATATCTTACTAAAATCTGATAACCACATAGTTAATACTTAATTTGCAAAATATTAATCAATTGTCACAAACTTGACTGTTCCTTTTGCAAATACCAGTCAATCGTCTCAGACTTTATTGTTCTTTCGTTTCCACACCAATCGTTTTATTGTTCTCGTTATATTTTATTTGATCTTCCTAACCTTCTGCCTCCTAGCATTTCCTTTTCGGTTGAGGATACATACTACTTATATCTGTCGACAGCACTAGCACACACCACAGTAGTACATTTTTCTTTTTATAGAATTTACTGAACAATTTAGAAATCTAGGAATTTATAATTTTTAATCCTTGCTGATATATATATATATATATATATATATATATATATATATATGTATATGGTTATTTGTTTTAATCAGCTTTCCATATTACTCTGTTGTTATTTTTAAGTTGTTTTAAAACATTCAACAATGAACAGCATGCATAGATAATTATTTTTCTTTTTAATAAAGAAAAATAACTGCTTAGCAACTTAGAATGACATTGAAGGACGGTCGAGGGACGAAAAGCGAATTTCTGGTGCTTTAACCGGGTTGGTGAACACGAAAAGTCCACCTAAGGGAGTTGGAAAACCATGATTCCAAACCAATGGTGCACATAAGATACAGTATCCTGAACGAACAAATGGAGTATGAACCTATTGTTGGTCACTGGTTACCATGGGACTGCATCTGCTCACGTTGCTCCACTGCCTTTTGGATCAAACCTTTAGGTCAAAGGCTCAGAGTGTAGCCTCCTAATTAGACTATCTGCTTCGGTTCGGGCATTCGATCAGTATCACAGACCACACACAAATCAAGTGGTTTGTGTGGCGCATATGTTTTCGGTGCCCCTTTGTACCAATACTTATGTATGTGACCAGTGGAGCTAATCCGTGTCGGGTAGAGACAGGTATCTACCTCAGTACAATGGAAAATGGTCACGCAATTTCGTGGATTGGTTGATGTTAGACATTAACACCATTGGATGCCGGCTCAGTGGTCTAGGTGGTTAAGCGCCTGGCGCGAGACCGATAGGTCCTGGGTTCGAATCTCGCAGGGAGCGGGATCGTAGATGAGCACTGCTGAAGAGTCCCATACTAGGACGAAACGGCTGTCCAGTGCTTCCAGGTTTCCAACGGTGGTCTAACATCAATTGATTCATGATCTCAATCAAAAACTTAACAATCTCCACAACCCCTATACTGATAAATAAATAAACATTGGGAAAAATTTGTTAAAGAGAGAATGTTAAACTGAATAAGATTTGAGCAACAACGATTATCCCTGTAAGATGCAAAAGTAACTCAGCATCAATAATTTTAAAATAATAGGTGGGAATTTTATCAAAAGTTTCATTGTAGTGATACTATTAATTAAAAAATGATTTAAGGTCTGTCCGTAGTCGGAATATAAATCTTCATATTACTTTGAAATTATTCATCTGTAAGACTGAAATACTTAGATAAATTATGTTTAAAATAGACATTATAGTGTATCACAATTCTTTGTAACAATGTATAATGTCTGAAGTCAAAACTGGTTACTAATAATTACTTTATGTTACTTTAATCATTCAGTCACTCAATAGTTACAAAGTATTTACACAATACATATACACAGCCTTGAATGGTCCATTGTATATACTGTAATCTGTCTTCTTAACTGACCTTCAAGTGTTCTACCAACGCCGTGCTTTCGATACACTCAAACTTCTCACTCGGTTTGATAATTGTTGCAACTTCAATGCCACGTTCCTCTATATACGACTTATAGACATTTTTATGAATAGCATCCATTACAATACATCTATGAATAACTATTCAGTTATTCTAAATAATAAGTAGTTTCAGTTTAGCGTTTTATACTGATTATTTCATAATCTGAAGTACATATATTTTCAGATCATGAGTTTTACACCTTCAATTTTAGTAATAAAAGTATTGCTTCTATTCTTTAAAGGTTTCTCCTTGTATGATTGGGAGACAAGTTCTGAAAATATAAGTCTGATTGAAGGCAAATTAAAACGCTGGCATTATGAAGTAGATATGTTATATGATGGAGAAACATCAGTTGGAAATAGAATAAGTTCACTGAAGAGCTGTGAACAAATAGTAAGTGAAAATATATCATTAGATTTTGTGCTTTAGTAGGGAAATAAAACTCCAATAATCTAAACATTCATCACTTACATTATCAATCCATACACAATCTTTATAGATTAGTTGTTTGAAACCACTAAAACGTTTTTCGACAAGGTATTAAAAATATGGACAATGTGACTCTAACTTCATTAAACTTTTGTGCTTAGTCTTTAATTTCAGCTCTTTAATCTTCAATAAAACATAAAGCTTCATCAATTAATTATGTCAGTTCGTATAAGTAACAGGAAACAAACCTATATTAATCATAAAAAGTATTGAGAGTCATATCCTACTCAGTTTATACAAGTTACTTCAAATTTCATAATCTATCTAAACCTCTGTCCTAATAATGATACCAGTGCCAGTGACTAGCTCAAAGTCGAATCCCCGAAGTTATAGTAATATGTTGTAGTCAACGGAATGATATCATGTGGTAAGTGTGATAGATATAACCGATAGCAATGGATAGTGAAAGAACCATTTCCCAAATTGATTTGAGTACAAGGTTCGGATAACCGGTTCTCAGATTACTTACGTACTTACGCCTGTTACTCCTCGTGAAGGAACATAGGCCGCTCACCAGCATGCGCCATCCAACCCTGTCCTGGGCAATCCTTTCCAGCTCCTTCCAGTTGTTATTCATCCTTTCCATATCTGCTTCTATTATCCGACGCAATGTGTTCTTTGGCCTTCCTCTTTTCCGCCTCCCTTCAGGATTCCAAGTTAGGGCTTGTCTCGTGATGCAGTTTGACGATTTGCGTTATGTATGTCCTATCCATTTCAATCATCTTTTCCTAATTTCCTCTTCAGCTGAAAGCTGGTTTGTTCTCTCCTACAAAAGGCTGTTACTGATGGTATCCGGTCAATGGATGTTGAGTATCTTGCGTAGACAGCTATTTATAAATACTTGTACCTTCTTGATGATGTTTGTTGTAGTTCTCCAAGTTTCAGCTCCATACAGTAGAACTGTGTTGACGTTCGTATTAAAGATTCTCACTTTGATATTGGTTGAAAGTTATTTTGAGTTCCATATGTTTTTCAACTGTAGGAATGCGGCCCTTGCTTTGCCAATCCTCGTCTTTACGTCTGCATCTGAACCTCTTTGTTCATCGATCATGCTTCCCAGGTATGTGAAGGATTCTACATCTTCCAGAGTTTCGCCATCAAGAGTGATTGGATTGCCATTCCGCGCTTTGATTTTGAAGACTTTGGTTTTCCCTTTATGTATGCTGAGGCCTACTGATGCAGAGACTGCTGCTACACTGGCTGTCTTTATCTGCATCTGTTCGTGTGTATGCGATAGGAGGGCTAGAACATCTGCGAAGTCCAACTCGTCTAATTGATTCTGAGCTGTCCATTGTATTCCGTGTTTTCCTTCAGATGTCGAGGTCCGCATAATCCAGTCGACCACCAGAAGAAAGAGGAAGGGAGAGAGTAGACAGCCTTGTCTGTCTCCGGTCCTTACTTGGAATGCATCTGTCAGCTGTCCTCCATGCACGACCTTGCACTGTAGTCCATCATATGAGTTCCGGATAATATTGACAATCTCAGAAACGCCGTAGTGTTGAATAAGTTTCCATAACGTCCTCCTATCTACACTGTCAAATGCCTTTTCATAATCAATGAAGTTGATTTACAGATTACTGATCAAAAGTTATCGTGGCATTGGTGAAATCTGAAGAATCGTGCGTTTAGTCATGTTTGACAGTGAATATCTACTTCTTAAGAGTTAGAGATTAGAAAGACACCTTTTCTAGTGTCCACTAATTTTAAAGGGTTTGTCAAATAATTTTATCTCACAATGAAAAAATAACCGAATCTAAAGGACGGTTTCTTACTAAGAGATTGGAAAAATATCAAGGAGTCAAAAATATTTTTAAACGTTGAGATACCTAACCACTATAAATACCAAAATGGAGAATATGCAGGGAAGATCAGTTTCACATGAAGTAGCTAGTAATAATATTGTCCCCAATGACAATGATGGTTTTACAATTAAACCTTAGAGCTCACAGAACGCGAAACTAACAATACTCGATATTCATCAGACAAAAAATGAAGATTTTATATATAGCACACTGCATCACACCATAAATAAGATTCAATCAGGAAATTATTTCAAGGCATTTAATAGTGAACTTATCATGTTCTTATGGCATGTAATGAGTTATTGTTTAAATCTTTTGAACTTATTACCAATGTACAAAAGCGAATGAAATGCAAATTACCCTAATATTTGACATATTCCTGAACAAACACCACTCATAAGTCCCAATTTATTTTTAAAATTATAAACAAAACAAACGAGATTCAACATCTAACTATGACCATTCTCAACTGTTTTTGAAAAAATCATTCAGTTAGAAAGTAATTTGGTATATCTTATATTCCTTATGAAGAATGACTGTAGACTTATCAACCTCTTTTTTATTTGTTAACAATTGTAATCGTACACTACCAATACAAGAAGGACGAATATAGTCTGTTACACGGTCAAAACAATTAACTAGACCTTATATTTTAAAAATTGAAGCACAATTACTGAATAAACTAGTAACAGTTGGAGCTACTAATGTGGAATGTGTTACTCATACGAACAAATATAAGTAGTATATATCGTGGATTGGAAGTAGGATTCTTACTGATAGAATAGGAAAACGAATAGAAGAGAAAGATAAGCAAAAGTAATTGGAATAAAAACGGGCATGAAAGATGGACAGGGTTTGTAAGAGACCGTTGAAGGAAGATATGCAAATGGTGTATTCAATGTATTGTTTTCATATTTTTCCAGGCGCATGCATTCAAAAAAGTTACGCTGATATTCACTTTGCGTAAACAGGAAACTTCTAGTTGATCAAGCTACTTGAAACTAGAACATAAGAATATTCCGTGATAGGTCTACTTAATCCAATAAATATATATCTGTTAACAGAACATAACATCTATGTGTATTTGATGGAGAAAACAATTAGAACAGATTAGACTCTCTTGATGCATTATTATTATTATAGCGTTTTACAGATCTGTTGATTTGTAAACTGCATAAAATGAGCTTTCTTTTCAACCAACTTATAACGTTCACTGTCTTTAGAGTTATTATCTAAATTCTTGCATTCATAAAAAACCAGTTGTATGTGCAGTATAAATAGTGAATACAAGTTATACTATGTTTTTCTTCATTTCCAGAATCTAATCAAACAACTTCTGCCTGGCAGACAAATCTCCATTAGAACAATCGACCATAACAACGTAATCGGTGCATCAGGTCTTTTAGAAACAAATCAATTTCAAGCAGATAACACTATGCATGACTCATGCAAATCTGTTCGTTTCGAAAGTAGTAAGCGCAAAATTGATCCAAGTGAAGTTTCCATAAATCAAGACGATGATTTAATGAGTTCAAATTTGAGACAAGTTAAAATAACTACTTTAAATGTTGTCAATACTACTGATGATCAGCTAGTAGTAGATGAAGCAGGAGAAGAGTATGAATTTAAAATAGAGGTAGATAAAAGTGAAGCTTTTGAAAATGCAGATGAAAAGAACCAAAATCTTACAAATGAAGTCAAATTAATTCTTGATAGAATCCGCCCAGTTTCATCAACTTATGGTTACATATTAACTAATAGGTACGTTCTATAATAATTTTATCTTAAATTTAATGTAAAAAATATTTTGCCGATTTACTCTTATGAAAAATGTCTTCTTAATTCTTCCTCTTGTATATTACATTTGTTTAAATTATCGTGACTGCTAAATTCTCAAGAGACTGATCAATTGCGGTCCTAAACATCAATGGGAAGATACAAGTACAAACAACACCAAGTGAATTTAAACTTCACCTCACTGCACAAGCAGATGGCTGTCAGGACTCAGTAGCGAAGTGGGTAACGCGATAACATTTGAAGCGAATGGTACTGAGTTTGAATCCTGGAGCGAACATCTCTTTTGGGGTGCGGCTACACCTAGCTGATGAGTCCCAAATAGGACGAAATGCGCGTCCTGGATTCCATTGCTAGCCACTATCCGTCTTTGCTCATCGTGAATGCTGTCAAAATAACGTAATAATTTATTTACTTAATTTTTTCAGTGAAATAAGTTACTTGTTAAGGTGCAAGTATGTAAGTCATCCCAAACGTCTGATTCCAATCTGTTTTTCATAAATAAATACTACCTATTATACAATAGAATTGACTGAAATATCTTTGAAAACACCACATAGTCCTAAATCTTTTGTTAATTACTTTAGGTTGAATAAACTAGAATACATTACATCCATAGGACTAACTTATCAGGATACTTAGTAGTTTAATTGAAAAAGAGAATAAAACAAATAGCTTTCAGTAATCTAATGTGATCACATCATCATGGGTTTTTTTTGACACACTGATTGTTTTATTAACGTATTGTATACTATGTGAAAACAATGACAATTTTTATGTAGACCGTTTATATTTTTTCTTTACATCTTTTGCATCATCTTGGTTTCCAGATAGTGTTAAAGTTTTGGTTGGTTACTTTTTGTATAAATTTGTTACTTAGATGAAACCACTTCTGTTCTTTATATTCTGTGTTACAACTGTTACTGAAGTGTAATTACTTGACATCTGTTTATATCTATTTACATCATTTGACAACAAGTCCTGTACAGCTTTTTTTATTTTGATTTATAACTAACTTCTAGCATTGAGTGTACTGGATTTTATTAACTCTGTAATCAAAAATGCTACATGTATTTCAAGAATCTGAAGTAGAACTAATAAGAGTTTAACATCTTGACATCTCAAGTTATGGTGGAAATTATCATGCAATTATTCTGATAACAAAACCTTTCCCATCTCAGAAATATTAAAATGGGTATTAGGTGTAGTGAATTCATGTCGCTAGTTTTACAGCGCTTCCAAAAAGATAACGCTAAACTGAATATACTTCGTAGTTATTAGTCTTTTCCTAATTATTATAAACAGTAATGCGGTTGATTTGACATTCACTAAACAACAGCAATTGCCATAGAAAGTGATATCGAGGAGATTTTGTGTATATATGTTATATCCCGATAAGAATAATGAATGGTAATTCTTGGGATCCATTTATGGATCAATACTATGAGTATATTTTTACCGTATAATTGTTATGTAACTAAACTGTTCATATTCATGTCCCTCTTGTTATGAGTTTTATTTTGACCTATGAACTATTATTATACGATTTACCATTCTTGAGTTATGGCCTGTCTATTAATTACTATCTCCCTCATTCACAGCCACTTTTGGCCAAATATTGTACAAATGTTATTTTCTATTTTATGGTACATTGTGGTCAGTTTGATTGGTATATAAACCCCGTATGTTTGAAATAAATGATTCATATTGCAGAGGCTGGGATTAGTGTTCTGGACTTAGCTGGATGGGCTAGACAGGGAGCGAGATCAATCAGGACTCTAGGTTGCTCACACATGTTTATGCGTCACTGATTCGATTGATAATTAGCTGCTTTTTAATAGGCGGTATCATTGCGTTATCCAATAAACAGGGCACACAAGTCATTTGTATTACCATTTCGTTATTTTTAAGTTTGTGTTGTTTTGATGAATTACTGAAAGGGCTACTTATTAGGACTGTGGAAAAATATCTACACGTTACTTGTAATGTAACAAGAATGATATGGCTTGATGTAGAAAAACCTCAAGAGTGAAGATTAATTTATTCACCAACAACAGATTCACTACAGCTTTTACCACTGATCAAAACTAGATCAAAAATATAACAATTTATGCATCATTTACTTATCTGAACAACGGTCAGATTTAAATACCCTAAGATATGTAGTGCTTTACAGAAAAGAAATCAATAACTTGATGTAAGTGTAAAGTTTACATTATTAGTAGATCAACTGTTTTAACTGAATTACTAAGTTTTATATTTTACTCCCTTCTAACGAAAACTAACTAACACTAAGTATATGAATCGATTTTTACACACTTTTAGATCATCTATACCAACAAGAAACATTAAGTCAGCCAGAAGTAAGTAATACATCGTTTCTAAACTCTATATCTCAGTTCCTGCATCAGTCATTTGGTTATAAACGATGTAGAATTAAAACAAATGTGTATTAGTCCAGTTTGTCATACATCATATTTGTACCCCAAATGTAATAAAGGTTGTTTCCAACGTTTACATAGAGGCAATCCGGTCATGATAGGCATGTGGAAACAAAGACTGATTTATCGCATTCCTTAATATCAAAAACGAGAAACTACGAGCCCTCACTAATACTTCTATACTCGTTGAACAAGTTACTGAGTGTTCAGATATAGTAACTTATTAGGCAACAGGTAAGTGTCTAGAATACAAAAAGTATTGGGTTCGAGTCTCAGTATGAAAATCAACGGCGGGATGCAGGCACGTCCGGCTTATGATTCTTAAATAGGATAATATGTGTATTCTTGGTTTCACCGCTAGTCAAAATTAACATGATAAGATGTAAAACTGTCAAAACATGCAAAACATGACCTTAAAGAAATAAACAAAAGTAGAGGACGACCTTAGGACTTATCCTATTTTTGTATTAAGAACAATAACTTGATTTCAATAATTCTTCAACGGTTCATAGTCAAGCGATATCGGTGAGTGTGACCTTAAAGAGAGAGAAAACAATATTTATAGAATACAGAGAATTCATCTTATTTCGTTGATTTCTTCCCAGTTACATGTAATTTAGTGAGTTTATTTTGCTTGAATTATTATCAAACGTGAAAACTGAACAACAAATCATTTATCAGGAACTGGTATATTGTTCTCAAGGTAAACATTGTAATGAGGTTTCAACAGTTGAAGTATTATTATTATTATTATTAATGGCTTTATTCAATATTATATTTTGGTACAATATAGAATTCTCAGCACAGGGTATTTCAACAAGTTACTTACTGAACAACGAACAAAAAAGACAGTAGCGAATACATAAAGAAATATATAAAATAAAAATTTAAAAAAAAACCAAAAGAAACTACAAACTTTTAAAATTAAAGACATGTTAAGAATGTAAGTTATTGACTAAGTTAATTCTAACAACCTGTTCGTCACAGAGTATATTTGCTAGGTAAGGTATAATAGAACTTTTATACTTTTCCTTGCGTGCAAGGATTTTTATGTAATTGAAGTTATAGTTATAAAATGTTGAAAATAACTTTATGATTTAACATAACCGAGCAAATAAGAATATACGGACATAATACGGAAGAAGGAAGTATACTTTGAGTTGAATTCAGTCAATTGTGGCCATTATTAAACAAAATAAAAAATCTAGTGTGTTTGGATTGTTCATGTACGTTGTCAAATTATCTGAAGGTAAACTACTAACTAAAGTATTCAACCACAGATCCCGACTACATAAACTAAATTAGAATATCTGAATCTAATGATGTAAATCAATCCATCAGTCATTGATGCAACCAGTATTTTTCTAGTAAAGAGTCGAAGTACCTAGTTGGCAAACTCTTTCGTGAAAGATATAGCTAAAATATTTCTTGGTCCGCGGAGCAATACGCCGCTCCCAGGACAAAGAATATAATTCCAGACGAATACCAGTATATTTTTCTATGCTCCAGAACTAATCAGTTAGTACAAAATCAATCAAACCTAACGTTTTGGAAACGGTTTTAGTCAAAACGATTCCCCTAGGATTATCACAAGAGAAATTTAGTCCTAAACTAGGACAATGAGTGATTGTGACCAGTTTGATGGAGTTGAACTAACATGCACACTTCACTTAATATCTAAGTCAGTCTTAGTGGTGATGCTAGCTCATCTTCTTCAGTGACTGGTGGAATTAATCTCACGGCTTCACCTGTCCCTTGTTCCTTCAACTCATTTATAGTCACGCAGTCTGACAGGGAATTACGTTCTTATCTTCTTCAGAAATAACCTCACGAACAGTTAACCTTTTATTACTTATAATTTGATGGATCTGAGAAAATTGTCTTCCATTGCCCTCTATGGTTACATTTTCTATCTCCTGTCTTTATTCCCCATCACTACTTGTGATGGCTTCACAAACTTCTTTCAGTCAGCAATGAAGTTATCCTTGATCCTCATTGTGATTGGTAATTTCTAGAACCAGTCCTTCAAAAGACTGACATGAATTATGATGGTTAATTTTAATATTGAAATATACCTGAAACTACTAATAAGACAATCATTTTGTTAATGAAATCATATTGTGACAAGTATTTTTACTTTCAACATTTGGTTTACTTGAAATATTATAGAACGTATGCTATGTGCACTGACAAAAACATTGTTAATAAAGCTCCCCTAGGTAAAAAAAATCGTGTCCCAGAAACTTCGGAATCTGACTGAGTGGAATAATCGTACCGTGTCAGCTGTGAGTTATACATGTCTTATATTCAACTTACTGTGGAGACGTGAGAAGATTAAGGTTAGAACAAAAATATTAATCCAGCACTCACTTATTTCAGTGGTTCTGCAGATAAGATTACTTTGTGAATAAATCTGTTTTTAGGAATAGATTATGATACCACTCTTTAAGCTTGTGTCTGTAGACGATAAATTTTCAGGTGGTAGGTAGGTAATTAGTTCCCTAATTTTCATTATTTTCTGAAGTTTATTAATGAATGGATCCAATCCAATAACTGGTTTAAAAAAATTTAAACACCTTAAAAGTATCCTTAATATTACGATTTTGGATGTGGCTAACATAAAGTTGTTGGCTTAATTCTTATACCGAATACCTGTCTTTGGATAAATGAAGTAAAAGACTTCGAGCTTCGTGTAAAACATTTCCCATAAAAGAAAGTATATACTGTTGCGGAATTGGTTCTTTCAGCAGTTCCCTTTCAGTAATATGTCTTGAGTTATTATGTATTATCAACAACCTCTCAAATTAGATTAATAAAAAAAATGACCAGAAATGAGTGTTTGCGGAGATCGTAGTAATTTTAATAGTTGAATTCATGCTTCTATGTAAACGAAACCGAAGGTCCTGGATGCAAGTCCCTCATGTGGGGTCGTGGATGCGCATTGCTCAGAAGTCTCATACTAGAACGAAATGGCCGTCCAGTGCTTCTAGGCTTTCAATGATGGTCTAGCTTACATAGACTCATGAATTCAACTATAATAAAAGAATAATTGAAAATTCCTTACTAGTTAAAATTCATCAAATATCTCAGTAATATCATAAATTGATGTCTGACACAAAATGTCATCATGATGTATTGTTTTTTTTATAATCAATGAAGCTAGTAAGACATAAATTATGAATCTGTAAATTTTTGCTACATTCAAATTGACAGCGGATGAAATTAAAGAAAGTGAATTGCGTAAAAGTGCATTGGCTAGTTCTCGTTTAAGTTCAAAGGTAAGAGATTATCAATATTCATTTACTATGCTGTTTCAAAATAGAACTAAATAGTTGTTCCTTGACTCATAACTTTTCGATTTTTTTTTCAGATATCAGTTCAGCATACAAGTTACTCTTATAAAATATAGAATGTGTATTACCACAATACATAACTTCTCATGAAGGTGATGTGAGAGTTCAATTTTTTAGGAGAAAGATTTTATTCATATGTTTCTATCAGTCCAGTAACAATCTTTTCGTTAGGATACAAAATATCTCTACAACTATCATTTTCGATGAAAGTTACTATTTTAATTAATTTATGTTCTTGTTGAAGACTTTTCGTGGTATTGATAGAAGAGTGATGCCTCTGTAGTTCTCACACTTGCTGAGATCACTTTTCTTTGATATCTTGATCAGGTGTCCTTTCCAGTCTGTTGGTAATGTTCGCCATCCCAAATCTTGCTGAAAAGAATGTGGAGTATCTTTGCAGTTACTGCTACGTGTGCTTTCGGTGCCTGTGTAATGATAATGAGTATCATTTACTAAATGATTATTAATTTTTAATACTGATTTGTTATCACACTGAGTTGAAATAAAATGCACTTATAATTGGAAGTTTTTTAATTGGGACAACATGGCTTTCGCATTTAGTGACTTTTGGTTTACTTTGTGTATCAGTTATCCAGCATAAAATTATTCACTAAAAGTACTTAGATTACAGTTTGATTGATGTTACTAGCTGTCTTCTATTAAATAGGTAAAAGATGTAATATAAAGGCCAAGTATAGTGTCGATGTAACTTACTTACCTAATTACTTACGCCTGTTACTCTCAATGGAGCATAGTCCACCGACCAGCATTCTCCAATTCACTCTGTCCTGGGCCTTCTTTTCTAGTTATATCCAACTGTTGCTCATTCTTCTTATTTCTGTCCCCATTTCTCGGCGTAATGTGTTCTTTGGTCTTTCTCTCCTTCTTTGCCCTTGAGGATTCCGAGTGAGGGCTTACCTTGTGACGCAGTTGGGTGCTTTGCTCAATGTGTGTCCTATCCACTCCCAGAGATTCTTCCTGATTTCTTCCTTTTCTAGGATCTGGTTTGTTTTCTCCCACTGTAGGTTTTTACTGATAGTGCCTGGCCAAAAGATCCGAAGTATATTACGTAGACAACTGTTAATAAACACTTGTATCTTCTGGACGATGGCTTTTGTAGTTCTCCAAGTTTCCACCCCATACAGTAGAACTGTCTCGACATTTGTATTGAAAATTCTGACTTTGGTGTTGGTTGAAATTTGTTTTGAGTTCCAATTTGAAGTCAAATGTAAAAAGTGACGTGAAGTGTGGTTGAATGACAAGTATTCATGAAGGACAAATTAATGACATGAACTTTTATATGAACAGATTTTAGAAGACAATAAAAGTGAATATCTATATTACATTCCCTTCAGGTTAAATAACGTACTGTTTTGCAAAATATTTAACTCATTATAATCATGATTATAAGTCATCCAGGTTAATAGGATGAATTTCTTTCTAGGTCACTCTTCAATCAATAAAAATCAACATTGACTACCAGGTTTAGTCCTTTCTCGCTGTATCAGTATAAATGATAGAGAACGAAACTAAATCAAAACTATGATTTGTTGCTAATTATACCTGAAAATAACTGAACGGTGAAAAGATGATTACCATGCTTAAACAAACATTGAATAAGAAATTAACGTTAAAAATAATGGCTGAATGAAATTAGGTATGAATATGTTCGCTTCTAAACTAAACTAAGTAAACAGGTGAATGAAGTAATGTTTTCAGATTATAACAATGTTGCAGATCAACCAAAGAATTACCAACATACTGAAAGTTATACACTTCAAACCAATATGCACTTGTCAAGTTTTTCATAACAAGAAAAGACTCCAAAATCCATTTTGGTATGTCAGTTTAGCAAGCTCATTTGATTCCTTGCATAAGACATTTGTATAACAAATATCTTCAGTATCAAAGTTTCCATTGAAATTGAAAATGATAGCATCGATTTTCAGTTGTAGATACACGAACCACTAATTAAATGTTTGCCCATATTTGTAAGTAATACACGGTAAATTACTCGGAATTTGCTTAATTTATGTATTTTTATTTGATCCATGATCTTTTTTTCCTTTTATTACTTAGAATACCCCTAACAGTTATACAGTGATTAGAGAGTATCGGGAATTGCGTGATCGGTTGCGTAAACAGGAGAATGAAATGCGTCGTTTTCGTGTATCACTTCTTCTTTAACGAGATGAATTAGTCAGGAATTGACATTTTAACTGTTTCATAGTACGTGGGAAAACATATGGAATACAAATAACCATTTAAATCGAAATTTCAATTGCTTTAGTTATCCAATATGGTTACTGCGATAATTACGTTTTAATGAATTGTCCTAATTTTTTCCAATATACACTTGTATATCTGATGTAAGATCCTGTGTGATTATACAACCTTATTTGTTGAAACCTCTCTAACTCAAATTCAGAAATCGATCTCGGTATGAAGACCTAAAAAGAGTATAGCCCAAACCCATATTTGGTACTTTTTCTCTAACAAAGCAAAATCCACCTAAATAATATCAAATAAGATGCATGCTTCCTTTTGACTTATATTAAGTAGTAGATAATTTTCTACAAAATTCATTTCATTTCCTAGAGGTATATTATGCATTACGTTATACTTAAATACGACCATCGTAAGATTCTGCTTACTAACACAATAATGATAAAGAGCGAGATTAATACGGTACTACTGATTTAATGATGTCATTTTTAACTCATTTCATAACAGTAACACTACCCCTTCTCCCCATGAGGCACTGTCCTCAATGCCTGGTACTGGTATGCTACCCCTCCTTCCGGTGGCAATTCATAATCGCTGACGGCATTCGGGGGTTGGTAAACTGGGTATCTAAGTGCACCGTTGTTTGGTCTGGCTTCGACTGATTGTAGTGTGTTGTTATAACGTCGTCTTGTGGCCGCTAAGGGAGATTAAATAAACACAATTTCGTGAGGGCCCTGCCAAGGCTGGTGGAAAATGCTGCATGTTTCTGGTGGAGCTACAGGGCGATGCAATCAAACATGATCTCCAGGTTTATACGACGGCACGTTCGCTTGTTAGTCGTATATATCTTTTTGGTGTTTGCTGGTATTTTGTAGGTTGGTTGGCTCGTCAGCTAGACGGCTGCGAAGATTATGGATGTATGGTACATGGTCCTGAGCCTCAAATGGTTACAAAGGCATTTGTATCTCAACAGATAGGCGTAATTCATACCCAAACAGAAAAATAGCCGGTGAAAATCCCGTGGACCCGTGCACGGACGCGCGATAAGCTAAGAGGTATTGGGTTATTGCATCATCCCAACATTCAGTCGATGACTTACTGATGAACGATTGTAGAAGGGTTTTGATGGTTGTGCTCAGTGTTTCCACTAATCCATTACTTTCTGAGTGGTACGTGGTAGTGTGTTTTCGGGATTCCCAATAACTCACATACCTGGGAAGACGAGGTGGCTTTCAAGAGCTGCATCCTGGTTAGAATGGAGCTTCATGACGAGAGACCTAGTGATCAATGAAATCTTATGCGACTGTGAGGCTCTTTTGTTGTAGAATAGAGGCGGCTTCACACCATTTGCCAAAATAGTCCACGATCACCAGTATGTAGCGGTTTCCGTTCTTCGATGTTGTAAGTGGCCCCATATTATCCACTCGCTGATGTGGACCTTCTGTCGTCATTGGAACTAACGGTCACGAGGTATTTGTTGAGATAACTTGATGGCATAGCACGTGCTACAAGTTTTGCAGAATTGTGCTATCTTCATGGATGGATGGATGGTCACCAAAACCTCTCGCAAATCGCGTGTTCAATCTTTCGTTTCCTCGAGTGCCCGAGTTTTCGGTGCACCCACTCGATAATATTCCGAACTTGTACACGCGGTACTATCAACAGTGGCTGGTTTGACCCACTGACTATAAACATTGTATCCCCATACAATCTCAAGCTACTCCACTAGGAACAAAGATGGCGCGTCGCTAAAGAATGATCATTTAACTCTGCCATAGATGGTTCATTATTTCCATGTAATTGCCCTTGGTAAATGAATCGCAGATCAGGGTTCGCTGTTTGCAGAGACGACTAGTCCATCTCAGGGGCTGTACTGAGGTCAGCGCTAATGGTACTAGGAGAATAAGGTATGCGGGACAGAGTATCGACGTTTGTGCGTTAGATTCCAGGTCGGTATTCGCAAGTAAAATGGAACTCCTGTAATCTCTCCTGCTAACGTGCTACCTGACTCGCGAAACTAACGAAGCCACCGAAGTGCAAGATGGTCTGTACGTACACAAAAAGGACGTTTTAGGAGATAGTGATGAAAATGTTGCAAAACGTTTACCAAAGCCGGCATATCTCGGCGCGTCGTAGAATACCTTGTCTCTCTCTCTTATATAACCGTCGACTAGCGTACGCTAGGACCCGCTCCTGTCCATCTTCTGCCGTTTGAGACAGGATTGCTCCAATAGCTGACAAACTAGCATCAATATTAAGTATAAACTCACCCCCCACTAGCCTAAGTGTCCGGAAAAGCTAGTATGGGTGGAGCAGCAAGACATGAGTTCAAAGTGCTAAATACCTGTCACCATTCCGTGGTCCACGAAAAGTTTCGTCCTTTATGCGTCAGGCGATGTACATTTGCTGCCAGGGATGCTACATCGCGCACGAAACGTCTGTAGTAAGAAGCAAGCACTAGGAAGCCGCGAAAATCCTCAGCAGATTCCGGCTGTAGCCAGTTGATAATGGCGTTCGTTATTTTCTTATCTGTTCCTACTCCGCTTTCATAACGCGATATCTCAAAAAGAGCACTTCCTTTTTCAAGAGTCGACATTTAGATGGTTTCACCTTTAAATTGTGTTGCCTTATACGTTGTAGAACTGCTCTCAATATGGCATTATACTATTCGGGTGTGCTGTCATACACAATAACATCATCAAGGTAAATTAGGCGCTTGCGTGGTACGAGGCCATGTAAAATTATCTGCATCAATTGTTGGATGGTGGCTGGGGAACTACTTAGCCCGAAGAGCATCACATAAAATTTGCAACGCTCATTTGGTAAGACGAATGCAGTCTTCTTTCTGTCCTGGGGTCGTACTTCCACTTGCCAGTACCAGAACGCTAGATCTAAAGACGAGAACCAGCATGCATCTTTCATAGCGTATAACGTAGCATCAATCCGCGGAAGTGGGAAGGAGTCACTTTTCTCTATAGCATTAAGGCGACGATAATCTATACATTATCGGGGAGAGAAATCTTCTTCACTAAAACGATGGGCGAAGCCCAGGGTGATGGAGATGGTGCAATAATCTTTTTCTCGAGCATCTCTTTTATCATTGAGTCCGACTGAGGCTGATAGTGTTGTAAGATCCAAACTAAGGTTTGGACTGAAGAATAGCTGTCTAGGTGGGTTAAATACGCGCCTTGCCTGGTTGAAACCAAAACAAAGTTATTGGGTAAAATGACGGTTCTAAAATTCATCATAAATTTAAATGTACATTGTTACCTAAACAAATATGACCACCCAGCTATCCAACCAATAATTGTTCAATTAATCAAATCTAAATCACAATAAATATGAAGTTGATAAAGGATGGGAAAAAACTACCAATCACAACAAATAAATGTTACTCTATCCTATCTGGATAGACCACGCACAGATTCGTTCAATAGATAATATTTAGTTGCTTCATAACACAGTGTCTCCAATTCTGGAAGAGTGCCTCAATTCACAATCAAAAATGCACAATTCCAGTTAATACAAGCAACACAATCAAAAGGAGGAACAAACCAATATGGCTGCCGCCAGGACTAAGTATCAAGTAAAACAACATAAATGCAGTTCAGGAAGAAACGCGGAAACTTTGTGAAGGCGTAAGAAAAATAGAAACTATGATGAAGTACAAATATTAACAACTCGTACGGAATCAAAAAGACTAACAAAATGTACAACCAAAGGAATCAATAGGAACAAACTGCAAGTGTATACATGGAGAGATTTTAACCCACAAAACATTCAAAATGGATCTTACAGTGTACTGGTACTCTGCAAGGCGGTTGACGTAGTGGCATGTGATCATCTGTGAGAATAGAGTGTTGCACAGTGGTCGTCCAGTTTCCACAGATATTCTCCGAGAAAGCGGAACTAAATTGACGAAGTAGGGAGACGGTTGCTCTCCGTTGTTTGTTCACTAGTTTGTGCCTGATGTATGACTTCAGACACCCCTACATGAGCCATCGATTTAGTTACGTTCTTGGAACGATGTGCTGGTATGGTCACTTCACCGGTTTGTGCTTCCTCCTTGTCTACATGTATAAAGACTTTGTGTTTTAACATGAAGTCAACTCTAAGTATTACATCCCAAGTGAGCGTGCGGCATACTAAGAATTCATGTGGAAATGAGTGTTTGTTCACCGTCACATCTAACTACACCTCATGCTGTGCTTCCATAAGATCACCACTCGCCGTTTTAGTACCGAGGAACACGGTGTTTTCCGTTTCTCATGATCCAATGTGCGTAAAACGTCTTCTCTCACAAGAGATACTGAAGCTCCCGTATCCAGTAAGATGGTAGTTTCCAGTTCTTGCAAACTACTCGTTATCGTGATAGGATATACAGATTCAAAATAATATGAAGACAAATGGCAAAAACTAGTCTCATCTTGCTTCCAGAATTGATTATGCCCGCATTTTCGGGCTCTCTGACCGAAGCGTTTGCAGTAAAAGTATTCAGTATTTCCATTCTGCTGACTGGTTCGTGGCGATTATCTAACCGGCCGATATTTGACCGCGGAAACAGTTCAAGCACTGTCAAACTGATACGGTGACTTGGATTCTTCGATGGCAGGGTGCACTTGAAGGGTTTGATAGCTTGTCAGTGACCAGTAACTAAGGAACCGTGATTTTCAGATCCTGCATACTAATTGGTGGCATTCGTTAAAAGTGCTGTCGTACTGCACTCGTTAAAAACCCTTCAACAAATCATGAGCGTATTAGGTCTCGCACTGAAACGTCTAGACTAGGGAATTCTTGGATTGTTATTTGCTGCAAGGAGTGAAGGTAATCAATGGGCTCCTCACTTGTCTTCTGGTGACGCGATAAAATCTTGGTGGTCCCCAGCTGAATGTTCACCGTTAAAAAAAAACATTGATCTAAAAATTTCCAATTTTTGAACGATGAATTGCTTGTAGTACGTT